AAGCAGCATATTTCTTCTGCATAGTAAAGTTTCAAAGCTGTATTAAGTCAATGTTGTAAACTTTTGAAAGAACAACCATAACGTTTTGTTCAGAGTTATGAACAAGTTCCAGTCTCGAGGTGTTGGTAACTCTGAGGTTCTACTTGTATAGAACATCAATAGAATGGATAGAGCTTTCACTGCCATTCTGACTCATGAGAGTGCCTTACACAGTAAAGACAGAGCATTGTTTTAATTAATATTTACAGAATATGCTACTGTAGCCATTTATGAAAGAAACATGGAATGCCAATCTTTCAGATACTTTGTGGTAATTAATCACTGTCAAGCAGTTTTTCAGCAGTCAAAAGAACCCCAACAGCAACATACATTCAGCTCTTGGATACGTCAAATAGTAATTATCTCCATAGCCATATTACAGAAATGCCCATATTTCTCAGCTTGTAACCAGCAGTTGGCTTTGACAGAGGGGAGGCCCTGCACACACACTTTTGCATTGTCACCACCAATCCCAGTCCATTAGACCTGTAGACAAATCTCTCACTGAAGCCAATAGGATTTCTGCCTGCTTAAGAACTGAGGATCAGCATGACAAATAACAAAAGCAACATGCCCCAGCACCAACCAGCCACCCTGGAGCATATTTACTGCACCTATCCAATAGTTATTTTAGTGGTTCTGTAAGAGATGGTGTCTCTCAAAGCAGACCACATCACACTACTTATTAATGCAGCTATAGCTACTTTATATACTTACTTGTATCAATGTAGAACAGATCATTGTAAAATTTATCACCAGATAACCCACCATGTATGAAAAGCTTGGTCCCAACTGCAACCACCACATGGCCATGCCGAGGTGAGGGAGGATTACCATGTACTTCTGGCTGCGACCAAGTCAAAGTGGCTAGAAATGGGAATACATATGATTATGTGGTGCATTGTTGGAGTTCTGTAAAGACATTAAACCAGAAACACTTGTCTAGGGACCTCTAGACCAAGTCTGACAAGATGATTTTTCAATCAATAACAAAAGCCTCAAGCGTTTAGTTTCTGGGATTGTTGCAAAAGGCAATTCAAATACATACTCAGCAAAGAAATGCAGCTATTTGTACATCTCATCTAGAAGTAATTACACACTGTTGGTGTAGTAGAAAAAAATCATTGTTCTTGCTCTACATATTGTCCTTTCATAGTGAAGTGAGCAGCATATGTTCCCACTTCTGAAAGAGAATGGCTACTAGCACCAAATTGTAGTAGAAGTTGGAGGATTCTGACAATACACCTCAATCCCGTCCTGCAATGCCAATGATACTTTCCTCTGAAGATACTACCCAGTTCCCCAGTGACTGTGTGGTGTTGATAAGCTTCAGGTAGGGTGTACAGCTCATCCATCTAATTTAAACCTGTAGCCAAAAACCAGTGTCTAATAATACACTATAACACTTTACCTAATTCTTTATGTATTATTTGCATTTCCAGGCCTTTATTCATCTCTGTGCCACACAAGCTTTCAGTCCAAGTTGGCAATGAATCATTTAACTCAGTGTAACAAAATATTAGTTATTTAGAGGTACCTGTGTCAAACACGTGAAGTTGTGGATCTTTAACGGGCTCTGCTCCTTTTTCTCCCCCTCCAAGAACATAAAGCCGGTCTCCTATAGCCGCTGATGATGTGTGGAATGTCCTAGGGAGTGGTTGAGTCCCAGCCACTTTAGGACTTTCCCAGATTCCTGTTTCTAATTAAAAGATGAAATGATAATTATTCACAAATAAATAACAAGAAGTTACCTTATTCATATGAATTCTTCAGAGCTGAGACTGACTTGACTAAGGAGTTATTAAACACACAAAACAGTGACAGGAAAAAAAAAAGTCAAAAGTGGCAAAAAATGACTTTTGGGAAATGAGTGAAAAATCCAAGTTGCAAGTGAAAGGTTGGTCAGCTGCATGTTTCTAATTCAGGTTTGTTTACACCACCTGACAAAGTGCTATGTCCATTCTACATTAGCCACATAGGATTTTGTGGAATGTATTTGTATGCTGAAATCAAACATGGTTCCCAGGATTTCCCACTAATGCTACAGAGCTCCTGTATTTATTCCACACCTAGAGATTTTTACAGGGAATCGGTCATTACATAAGTTGAGACTTTTAAAAAACGCTCTTTACAAGCAATATATATGCAGCACCACTGAAATGCTGTCACCTGGGTAGTGGAGGACAACAGACAGGTAAAAAACAGGCACATAAGACAACAGAGAAGGGAGAGTAATTTTTGGTTAACAACTCCAGGGCAAACGCCTAGTTTCTTAAGAATCTTTAATATCCATACAGCGCAGACCACACTACCTCTCATTCAAATGGCCCACACACATTGAACTGCATGGTGGGCTGATACGGCTCTGGTAGGACCCACTCATTCGGCACAAAAATGCTCCTGTTAATGCCAAGCATGGGATTCGTTGCTGTGAAGCACTAGTGTACAGTGCATTCCCTGCGGCAAGGAACCTGAGGGTCACACTGCAAAAGTCACCACAGCATTTTAGAAAGTCGTAGATTTGATTCTACCTAGTCTTTAACGCTCCTAGGAGGAGATAAAGGAAATCGTTTGCCTGTAAATACAGCTTTTGAAGTTGTAACCTGTACTTTACAAATCTAACAAAGTAATTCAAACAGTTTCTCACATGGATAACAGGTGCATATCCAATTGTCCAA